GCAGGACGAACAGATGGCTTCGTCGCAGCCGAGGCCGCCATTTCCACCGCCATCTGCCGCTGTGCTGCGGGGGCGATTGGGCGGTCGTCGGCTGCTGTGGCGCATCGATGAGTGAGGTAAGAGGCTCCACCAGCAGGAGCGGCGGCACCACTAATGGCGTCAAGTACACTGACGCAGCCCAGTTGTACACCTAAACAAAAGGGAAGGGGGTCGACACCAAATCAATGGATGGATGGATGGATTCGGCTTGGCTCGCTCACCGTGAGTGGTGCCAATGTGAGAATGGCCATCGCCCTCGCCACACTCTTGACGCACATCCACAGCGGCGGCATCTCACGGATGCTCGGCTCCCCTTCACCCGTCGCTTCGTTCCCCTTTGCCACGCTGTCGCCTTTGGCTGGCTGGCGTGATGATCGTGGCTGTCGAATGAGCGCCTCACTGACCAAACAGATGAGACCGACGGCGGCGTAGCCCATCAGCGCCACCCACACCCACACAGACGCCTTCTGCAACACACAGCACAGCACAGCACACGGTGAGTGGTGCGGTGCCGTGGAGTGCAGCCTCTCGATGTGCTGACCTTTCTGGCCGTCCGCACTTGGCGCTTGTCGTGTGCAGCTGCTGGTGTGCATGACGGGGTGAGGAGGCCTGCATGCCTCCAGCGAAGGAGGGAGGATGCTGATGGGAGCAGACCCCCAATGCCCCAAGATGACAGCTGGTCCACAAGACCACTCTGAAGAAGAGACAAGGGCCAGCATGCAAACCAAAGTTCCCCGCTTTCTGGCTGTGTGTGACCGATCTCACCTGTGTGGCCAGTGCGAAAGACGTGAGGCTGCCTGCGATGACGCCCGAGAGCATGACGGTCGCGCCAAGCATCACAGCTCCCACGTCACTAAACACCCGACACTGAAACGTCTGACGACCAAACCAGCACCAGCCAAGACAGACAAATCCATCCATCCATCCATCCATTGGCTGACCGCTGCGGCGAGCGGCATGAGCATGCCGAACACGGGGTAGAGGTAGAGGCCGGACGACACGTGGCTGTTGGGTCTGGTGAAGAAGTAGAAGTTGAAGGAATGGTGCAGCGCCTGCAGAGCGCTGCTCTGGCAACGCAAGATGCCCTCCAACGAGCTGCATGCACACATAAGACACACACAGCATACTCAGAGAGAGGGAAGGGGATCAGTACACATGGACCTTACCCGCCCAGCTGAGTCAGTTTGGGCTGGCCGTTGCCGCCCCGCGGGTTAGACGAGGCCACTGCGGTCAACGCAGGGATGGCACGCCTGACGGCAACAAGGGCAGGAAGCGAACACTTCATTGCCTTATGATTGTGTGCATGATGGACTTACTGCAGGAAGGCCGAGTGGATTCGGTCGGCCCCGGCATCGGTGGCCATTCGGTTGACGGAATCCCAGGCCTCTCTGGGCTCCGCTCTAATGCCGTCCTGCTTGGCCTCTATCGCATAGGCGTTGACCAGGTCCTGGTTCGGCTGCAGACCGTTCACACCCTCTGCACACAGACACACATACGCAAGACCCATTTAGTTGCAAATGCTGTGCGTACCGATGTCCAGTGTCACGGCGACTTGGTTGGGGCGGTCCTTGTCGATCTCGAATATGACGGCCTGGCGCATGAGGCCCCTGCGGGGAAAGGGCGCCTTGTCACGCAAATAGCCGTCAAGGAACGCACGGACCCCTGCAGACAAACCACACACATCCATCCATTCACAGCCGTCTGCCTGTCTGTGTGTGTCTGACCTGCGGCGTACGGCAGCGTCCGGTCGGTGAAGATCACAATGACGTCACGCGCAAGCCACTGAACCGTCTGCAGGTAGTCCGCCAGTGCGAGCCCCACTGCGGGAGTGGCCGTGTCGTCCCTGTCGCGCCAGTCCGAGGCCATGACGAGCACGATGCTCTCCCTCGAGTCGCCACGAGCAGACGGCACCACCGCCACAACTGTCGTGCCCCGCACCTCCCCATCGAAGTAGCTCCAGCTGATGTTGTAGGCTGGCAGCCCCGACCGCTCAAGGGCCGACTGCAGGTGCCCCGCCACACCACCACCAGCACCAGTAGCAGCATGAGACGATGACCTTCTAGATGATACGTCAGCCGTCGCTTCTCTCAGCTCTTGCCTCGTGGCGCCCAGCTGCTGGCTGCTGTGTGATGTGCTGAAGCCGTGCTGTGCATAGCCCGGGACGAGGCCGTGCTCTTCGATGACTGTTGGTCTGTCGAATGCGTCGAACATGCTGAGCCAGATGGCGCCTGCGAGGGCCACCAGGAGGGAGATCTGCCGCAAACGGGGCGCTAAGAAGGAGGCCACGCCGTCGCGGACAACACCCATGACTTCAACAGACGATTGCTTAATGCGCTGAGGCCATCGTCCTCGGTGTCACGCGGCAGTGAGATGAGTCAGATCTTCAAGTCTGCCCCTTTCCACCGCGAGCTTAAATCCCTGGGGAGGTTTGGATACGAAGAATGACCTGAGAGATCATCAAGATCATCAACATGACATTGTCCGTCCTTCAGCGGGCAGTGAGAAGTTGGCAGTGAGTTGAGATCTCATCTCCTCCTCTCATTTCATCGTCTATCCATAGAATCGATGTCGCTGGTGGTGGTGCCGCCCGAGGTGGCCTGTCTGGACGGCAGCGTCGAGTCCTTCTTCCGCGGCATCGTATCGGGCACAGTCTTC